CGGGGGAGGCGGGGGGGGCGGGGTTATACTCCTTTTATCGCGTGCGGCGGGAGTGGGGCATACTCTGTGTACTGCGTGTCTTGTGGTAGTGTGACAATTGGCCATTGGCAGTGCTTCTGTATAACGACTGGGACGGAGGAACATGCCCGCTCGCGCACACAGAGCAGCCTCTTGAGACATGCTGTTGTTCGTGGTTCAGGGGAGGTGGGGGGCAAGGTAGAGGGGGAAACAATTGCTGTTTGTCTTAAGTCTCACTCAAAAGGTGCTGCGTTAGACCGCGATCGATGTACATACACTTGGGGGGTGTGCTTCCCCGCCTCATCCGACGAAAGTGCTGCTCCAACACACAACACATCAATCACAAACACGGCAGAAAAAAAAATCGCTTCAGCTATCCTCTACCCCCCCGCTTCATGCCTCATCAACCAACCCCTTGTCCAACCGTAACACTCCAGGTCTAACTATAAGCACTCTTCAACTCTAACAACCCCCCCTCGCCAGTACCTTGAGAAGCGTCTGCAACCGTTCAGAAGCCGATTCCAACGGCAAGCTTCCCGTGGTGCCCCCCTGCCCCTGCCGACCCGTGCCGTCCGCGCGCACGACGGGCCCGAGCACGACCTGCATCCACAGAACGAAAACGATGGCCACGGAAACATCATGTACATGTCACGTCCATCGTTACACCCCGATAACAAGCCCAGCAAGCCCAACATACGAAGAAAGCCCCCTACAGCTATTCTTTGTAGCGCTGCCATGCATGCATGCTACACGAAGCGTACATAGAACAGTAGTATGGCGACGAAACAGGTACTGCGAAGGAGGGAGCGTCTCATGGCGAGCGAAAATTGCCCAAAAAATCGCCTCCGCCACCGCCTCGCCCTCCCTACCCACCTCATGCACGCGCGGGCGCCTGTGTAGCGCGCGCACACATTGATGACGGAATCGAGGCCACTGGAATCGTACCGCCCGCCCCCACCGAATCGTTGGGCAATACGTTAGGTTTGAATGGTGTTCATCACTATCGGAAGGTGGACTCACGGTCAAGGGCTTAACTACTCTAGGCCAACAGCGAACGAGTACGCCCAGATTTCCCCCACCCCCCGCCCCCAGCCCGGAAGGGAGTAAAAGTAGGGGACACGGAAACGTCGGTTTCAGGAATGCTGTTTGCGGATGATTTTTGTCGGTATGTCGGACACCCCTGAGGGACTGCAACTGCAAATTGACCCGGCGAAGAAGTTTACTGATAAGTGGAGATTGTCAACCAACGTTCAGAAGAGTGCCGTCATGGTATGCAACGAGAACAAGGAGGAACCAGTAGAACATAGATGGAAGTGGGGATCGAGGAGATTGCAGTAGTGGACCAGTACACACACCTAGGAGTAGAGATCGCAAAAGACTGCTTGTGGAATGCACAAATGTCCAAGGGAGCGGAAAAGGGCAAAGCAAGAGCAGGGAACTGCACCCAATACTCGCAAACCGGCACCTCGATACACGCATCAAATTGATGGTTTTGAAGAGCGTAATCGTACGGCCGCTAGAGTACGCCAGAGAAGTATGGGAAGGAAATAAGAAGGTAGTGAAAGAACTCGAGGCGGCGCAGATGAAAGCAGCGAAAACCATCCTAGGATGCTCCAAGCGCACAAGTAATGCAGCCGTCAGGGAAGAATTGGGGATCCAATCCCTACGGTCGGGTAGAGACGCGAGGAAGCTGACATTACAGTATCGCATGTGCGGGATGGGAGAGGTTGCCGAGAATTGTATGGGAGGCGAAGTGGGCAAACAAAAAGAGGGGTAGACAAACCACGGAATGGGTCAAGGTTGTAGAGGACGAATGGAAGGGGCTCGACATCGACGAAGATGAAACGCTGGAAACAGAGGGTCTACAGGGGTTCAAGGAGAAGATATCTGCTGCTTGTGCCGAGAGAAGAACAGAATCTGAGGAAAGAATCCAAGGATAAGGCGGGTCTAGAAGTGTACGGAATGTTGAAGGAAGGAATAGGGTTCAAGGACTACCTACATGGACCAATGGATGCAGGAACAAAGCTTCAGGTCAAATTTAGGACCGGGGACATGGGCCTTCGAGAACGTCGACGAAGACATAGGACGGTAGACGACGAAGACGACAAGTTCAAATGTGATTGCGGGTTCGAATGCGAAGACCGTGTTCATNAAAAGGAATATCGTTAGGATAGACAGACTAGGGAAGACATTTTTGAGCCACCTTTGGCAAAGTAGAAAGGAACGATTGGCAATCAGTGATCGGTCCTGTGGGAACAATGCTCCGTCCTCTCGAGGACGCGTGGTCAATGGTCTAACCGCTAAGGCATGCAAAACATAAGAGTACGCCCCCCCCCCTTCGCCCAACTCACTAGGCAGCACACCCATGCGCGGACGTCGTCGAAACCCTTGGCAACCGCCCGTCCGAGCATGCGGCCGCAGAGCCCGTCGACCCTAGCCAGCAACACCCACAGCTCCCCCAGAGGGCGTGACACGTCCACCATCGACGAGCCCTGCCGCAGCACAAACACACCCGAGGAGGATGGTCCACAGCGAGAAGAGACAAGGGTGGAAAAGGGACAAAATGACCATCGACGACGGGGGCAACATGTCCGAGAGGGGGGGGGGGGGTATGCACAGTCGTGCATGCCGTAGTCGTTAGACCATTGGCCTCGCATCCCTACAAAGCCGGGACGGAGCAAGCCGGGTTCTCACCGGACCAGGCTCTCACATCACCAAGCGCGAAGCGCCGTGAGGTATTCGGCGAGTCGCATGAAGGGTGCGCTGCATCCTGCAAGGGTGTTCGGCATCTTGCGCTTACTTCCTTGAGTACGGATGATGTGACTTAGTTTATTTCTGGTGCTCTCACATCTGAGACAGGTGGAAGCACTTTGTAACTACCTGAGGGTGCTAGACCATTCTAACACAACGTGGTGCGATCATCCCCCTTGCGCGGGGGTGACGGTTCTCGACCCCGCACAACATAATTGACTCGACCACCATTCGTCGTTACCGCGAAAAAAAAACGGTAACCTGGTTGCCGAGCTCACCAAGTGATCGGGTTGTTTTACAACATCGCTGCCAAGCGACGAAAACCCAGCCCCGGTGGCAAACATCGCGGGGGGTTGTTGTGCCAGCAGAGCAAACTGGCGACGACTTCGAACACATGGCATGCGAGACAATTGCTGTTGTTGATATTGTTTGGTAGCATTTGTTTGACGTCGTCACCACCTTGGACAAGATCAACACAACCGGCCGGGAGTAAAACGCCAAACGACAGACACACGCATCTGCCGAAACGACTCATGGTCTTGTCAACAAAAACTCACGAGGAAAGCATCGTCAAGGCTCTGAATTTTGCACACAAGGTCAGGAGGACCGCATCTTCAAGGCCCAGAAGTTCGCACACGAGCACAAACGACAGCAGACTAGCACTTGGAGAGTAAACACGGACTGCACACTTGTCAAAGCTCTACCTCCGACAGTGGATCCGGTCCCGAAGGGTCCCCTTCCTCGCCGCTAGCCCCGTCCCCTGGGCCACGCTCATCGCCCCCATGTCCAATGGACACCATCTCAACCTCTGCGCAGACCACCATCACCGAAGGGGGCATTGAAGGAGTTAGTCGATACACACAACGCCTCTACATTCCTTCTTCACCGTCGGACGGAAGAGAGCCACGGGGCTTCCACAGGTGCGGATGGTGCGGCTCATGGCACCGGGACACCTGGGAAGGTATGATGTTCACTAACGTACAGCATGCATTCAGGCGCGAGCATATCCAAACGACTGCCGAGCATAACATTGTTCAGAGCGTTGCAGTCCTCCCCACCTCATGCGACGGGAGCCCCAAACGACAATAATAGTTCCAGTCAACTCCTTTCCATGCCTCTGATATAGCGTCAATCTTTCGCATGCATATTTTGCTTGCCTTGTCTTCAGTACGGCGCCCGTGGGGCTGACGGCGAGGCGCTGGAGGCCGGGGTTGGGGGGGTAGTCATTAATTGGCGCCCACGAGTGCGGATGGCGCGACTAATGGCGCAGGGACACCGTGGGAAGGTATGCTGTTCAGTAGCGTACCCGCCGAAGTGCGGTGCTAACACAACGAGTTGGACGGGGGTTCCACCCCAGGCCACGGCGTCTCCTCCCTTGCCCTTTGCGCCGTTAATGAACTTAGCTACGGAACTCAACTCCTAATCAACATATAGCCCTGTCGACCTGCTGCCCCTCCTCGGAGGTGCTCATGAGTTTGGTGTGCAACCACGTCCCGGCAGCATCCAGTTGCCGGCCTTGCCGGCCTTGAGGGGGCCCCCTCAAGCATGCTATGCAAGGCCGGCAACTGGATGCCGCCGGGACGTGGTTGCACACCAAACTCATGAGCACCTCCGAGGAGGGGCAGCAGGTCGACAGGGCTATATGTTGATTAGGAGTTGAGTTCCGTAGCTAAGTTCATTAACGGCGCAAAGGGCAAGGGAGGAGACGCCGTGGATCATCCAGTTGCCGGCCTTGCATAGCATGCTTGAGGGGGCCCCCTCAAGGCCGGCAAGGCCGGCAACTGGATGCTGCCGGGACGTGGTTGCACACCAAACTCATGAGCACCTCCGAGGAGGGGCAGCAGGTCGACAGGGCTATATGTTGATTAGGAGTTGAGTTCCGTAGCTAAGTTCATTAACGGCGCAAAGGGCAAGGGAGGAGACGCCGTGGCCTGGGGTGGAACCCCCGTCCAACTCGTTGTGTTAGCACCGCACTTCGGCGGGTACGCTACTGAACAGCATACCTTCCCACGGTGTCCCTGCGCCATTAGTCGCGCCATCCGCACTCGTGGGCGCTAACGAATGACTACCCCCCCAGCCCCGGCCTATAACACCTCGCCGTTAGCCCTACGGGCGCCGTCGTGAAGACAGGGACAGCAAATTGTGCGGGGACCTGGGTGTATCACATACCTGATATACTTTTAATGTCATCCGCCGAACCCCCCTCCACCGTTTTGGGCGGGTCAATACATGCGTTGACGCCCTTGTCACGATAGTTCGTGCTATTTTCACGCCGACTGCAAAGGACTTGTGTGTAAAAAACATACCACACGGCAATGTACAGACGCGCTGCACCGACTGACCGCGACACCCTGCAGGTGGTGTCAATGTGCCCACACCCCGACACTGCTTCTTGTTCGTTAGCGGGAAAGGGTGTTTCGCGTACTTACAACCCCTTCCTCTGGCGCGGTAACTCGAAAAACAAACCCACCAAACGAAAGCGTATCGATCGGTTCGACCAAACGTGACGCCGCATTCTTCACATCCGCACGAAAACGTAGTGGTGATGGAGCAAGGGTAATCACATCGCTCGAAAGTGTGTTGCTGAATAAGGGTTACTACACCTTGGAAGTCCATCGCCGCCATGGGTAGGTCCCCCCGTCTATTTCGGCCACGTCTTGTCCTAGCTCCGGCCGCGGAGTCTCCCGAGCTGGGCGGTCCCACGCGCGGCGCCTTGCGAGCTATGTACCTGACATGAACGTTGTTGTTGTCGTTGTTGTTGTTGGTTTTGGTGGTATTTTGGTTGTTGCTGGTGATGGTGTTGGTGGTCGTGGTTTGTGGTGGTGGGTTTGTCGGTGTTTTGTCGGTGTTTTGGTTTTGGTTTTGGTCATATTTTGGGGTTGTTGCTGTGGTTCGGGGTAGTGGATCCCACGCCGAACACAACAGCTTGAAAAACAGGAACAGGTTGATTTTCAAGCTGTTGTGTTCGGCGTGGGATCCACCACCCCGAACCACAGCAACGACCCCAAAAAATGACCAAAACCAAAACCAAAACCAAAACCAAAACCAAAACCAAAACACCGCCAAAACACCGCCAAAACCACCACCACAAACCACGACCACCAACACCATCACCAGCAACAACCAATCCCACATAATACAGTACGAGATTGTTGTGGAAAGCACGCGATACACAAGCCAAAAGGGACCTCGTCGTGCACAACCTGCCTTTGTGTGTGTCCCTTTGTGCGTCGAAACTCTCAATTCCCGCCGCTGCCAGGCCTGCGGCGGGCGCGGGGCCTCTTGCGACTCGCTGACCTCCTCCAGCCTCCTCTCATCATTTTTTTTCTTTCTTATTCAACTCCCGCGGAACACGAAACCGCCTGTCATCTCTCTGAGCGTTAAATGAGTTGTCAAATGTTGAACCACGCCGCCGTACACAACCAACTTTGCTACATACTTATCCGCCCTAGCTCTCAACGGGACTCAGTGATGGCTGAACCGGCTGATGTGCCCATACTCGCTGCGGTGGAAGCACGCTTGCTGCGGGCACGTCCGAAACGAATGGTTGGCGGGCTTGCCCATCTGTGGATACCTAAGAGCAAGTAGGATTAGCACCGCCACTCCCGGCACCTCTACCACCTCTACCGTCGGTAGGGGCAGTAGGGGGCGGTAGGAGTGGTAAAGGTGCCGGGAGGGGCGGTGCCGATCCTACTTGCTCTAGGTGTGTACAGATGGGTAAAGCCCAGACAGGCGTTTCGGACGTACCCGCAGCAGGCGTGCTTCCTGAATCATGCCACCGTACACAACCAACCTTGCTTCATACTAATTCGTCCTACAGCAGTAATCCTCAACGGTTTGGACTTTACTGGGGCAGAAGCCGCCTAATGTGCTCATACTCGCCGCAGCGGAAGCACGCCTGCTGCGGGCACGCCCGAAACGAATGATCGGCGGGCTTGCTCATCTGTGGACACCTAGAGCAAGTAGGATCGACACCCCTGCTCCCGGCACCTCTACTTCTCCTACCGCCCCTGCCGCCGCCAGAGGGGTTAGAGGCGCCGGGAGGGGCGGTGCTAATCCTACTTGCTCTAGGTGCTCACAGATTGGCAAGCCCGCCAACCATTTGTTTCGGACGTGCCTGCAGCAAGCGTGCTTCCACTGCAGCGAGTACGGGCACATTAGCCGGTTCAGCCATCACTGAGTCCAACCCGTTGAGGACTAGGACGGATAAGAATGAAGCAAAGTTGGTTGTGTACGGCGGCGTGGTTCAACATTTGACGGCTCATTTCACGCTCAGAGCGATGGCAGGCGGTTTCGTGTTCCGCGGGAGATGAATACAGAAAACAAAACAATGATGAGAGGATCCAGGAGAAGGTCTGCGAGTCGCAGAGGCCCCGCGCCGGCCGCACGTCTGGCAGCGGTGGGTTCTGAGAATTTCGACGCTCAAAGGAACACACACAGCAGGTCGTGCACGATGAGGTCTCTTTTACTTGTGCACCGCGTGCTTCCCACAACAATCACATGTTGTCCAATGTGGAAGGAAGGAACCTGAAAGGATGGTTGTTGCATCCTGGGCCTCAGCGAACACAAGAAAAAGACACGGCCAGCTGGGCACGGGAAAACAGGGGTGGCTGTCTCATCAACGCATTCTCAAAGACTACCACCGCTTTGCATACAACTGTTATCTCAATAGAAAATAGCGCTTCCAGACGACCCAAGTCGCACATTGCGGTGCTCGTGAGTAGCCTGTACGCTTGAACCAGACAGAGCCATGAAATAAAAGAGCCACGCACCACGGACTTCACGAAAAAGAACGAAAGAGGTTGCACACTTGACGCACAGAAAAACCACACAGTAATTGCGCACCGGTGGCGCTTGCAATTCGAAAACGCACAAGCGCAGAACTCGGCCTTTCAATGCTGAGGATAGTATGAGCGCTAGCCCACGCTACCTTGCACAAGACGCGCACATAAACACGGACCTTAGGCATGCCGCGAAGTGAGCGATCTGCACAGGCGAGAGGCGTTCTTGTGGGTAGAGAGGCAGGGTCATGCGCTCCACTGGGGGGCAGGTTCTCAAGTGGTCGGCAACCTTGTAGGCCTGACAGACCGGGGGGAAGTACGGGTTGCCGTACGGCATGCACAAGGGGCGGAAAATATGATAAAAGCGAACATGATGAAGGCGATCGCACCACCAAAAGGAACAACAACAGGGACGAAAGCAATGACGCATGCTAGGCAGCCAATGCAGCAGTGGTGCAGGTAAGAGAGACGCACAACAAAATGAAATAAACGCGTCGAGCGATGCTTGTCTTTGGCCCATCCATCCTTCAATCAAGCGAACCGATATTCCTCTTGCAAAACCGCGCCGTGCGCCGCTTCCTCCCACACGCTGCCATCAAAATGATCCTCTTCCCATGCACACCTGTGAACGCTTTTAGTATCATCTCGTCCTACGACTACGCACTTTCGGAGGCTGGTAAACGTCCAGAGCCGACGCGTCGGCACCGAGCTCCACCATCACCGACACGCCCGCCTTTGTAGAGGAAGCGTCGGCGATGATCATGTCCTCCGGATCGCACGCCAGGACCTGCATTGTTGCGTTGTGGTGATGCGATTTAGCGGGGAAAGGCGTCAACAACAAATTGGTTTGTTGCACCCACACCCGAAACACTTGCACGAGCAAACAAACAAAAAAAAGAGCAACAGCAGTAGCAAACAGCAATAGCAAACACACCAAATCACCACCACCGCATCCACCAATAAAAACTTAGCACCAGCACCAGCCCTCCCCCCCCCGGACTAACTACAAGCGTAAGCTCGGCCCCCCAGCCCTCGCCTCTAATCGGCAACTCGCCTTGTAGCAGCGACATGCCAGGTAGTCAGCGGCCACGTGAGCGTCCCACCCTGTGAAGCCCCATATCGCCCACTTGGTCCAGCCCCCCATGAGCCTCTGGGCCACGGCGGAGAGGCTCGAAAACGAGCGGTCCAGGATGAGTAGGTCCACCTGCTGTAACATGCGGATGGGTGGTGAAAGGTTGTTGTTTGTCTAATGCATGCATAGCTGGCGTCGACTGGTTGGTTGTGGTTGTGATTGTTGTTGTTGTCGATGTCGTTGCTGTCGTTGCTGTCGTTGTTGTTGATGTTGGTGCTGTTGTTACTGTTATTGTTTCGTCGTCGTCGTCGTCGTTGTTGTTGCTGTCGTTGTCGTTGTGTTGTTGGTGTTGTTGGTGTCGTTGTCGTTGCTGAAGAAGATGCATTGCTTCTGTTTTTGTTTTGCTGGTCGTGGTGGTGCCGCTGGTTGATCTCTCGTGCTCCAAACATGCAACCGCCCGCCCTCTCCCGGGCCCGCGCATCATCATGGCCGCAAAACCGGTGGGGGAAGAGTTCCTTCATCACCTGCGAGTGTCTTGCGACGCTGGCCGCAGCGACCCCCCCTATGCTCTCCCCATGGACCGCCAGCCGCGTCACCCCCACGTTCTCGCGGAGGTAAGTCACAATCTCTCTCACGTCCTTGTTGATGTTGGCCGGGGAAGCCTTCCCGCCTGATCGCCCGTAGCCCCGGTAGTTGAAAAGGAACACGTCGCACCCTACGGAGGTGTAGAACGAGACCCTGGTGTGTGATTCAATACAGCAGTACATCACGAAAAAAAATAAGTGTGTGTGTTAAAGGGGGACCTGTTGATTCGATAGATGCCAAGCGAAAAATTGGAATTTATGGCATGCAAGAAGAATCACCAGCAGCATCACGACGACTCTTCCCCCCGCCCGCCCCCGGAACGCTTTAACCGAGCTCTTTGAGTCCCCACGGCGGAGTGAACGGCGGTGGACGAAGAGTGCCGACAGACACATTACGGCAGAAGAAAACGAAAGACATTCCTGTCTGGTGCTCGCATGTCAACCTCAAAGCATGAGCCCTACTATCTCTGCTGGAGACAGACACGACAAGGACAGAACAAACACATTTGGCAGTCGTTGTGCGGGAACTTTTCGAAAACCCCAACCCTCCTTCCCCAAACAAACTTGAAAGCCTTTGACATGTGTTCACGCAGAAACAATAATCTTCGACGTAGAACGGCGCAGAACAACCTTTGTCCACCCGTGGGTGTATGACACCTTGGCATGAAGCACACCCACTTTCCGCTCTCTCTCTCACCAATTGCGACCACCCTCGCCCGCCAACACCATGCTCTCGTAGTACCCCGCGTTGGGGTTGCAGAAGAGCACGCACCCCGTGCTCCTCCGCTCACCTCCCTCCCCGACGCCATCGTCACTGCCGCCGCTACCCGATCTCCCCGCCGCTGCCGGCAAACCGCCCCCCACCCCCTCACCGCCGCCGCTGCTGCTGCTGCTGCTGCGGCCGGTCCCTTCCCTTCCGCCGTACGCCTTGCAGTAGCAGCAGTCTAGGAGGGTGCCGTCCGACATTGCCAGCCAGATCTGCATTTATTATTATCGTGGGTTGTTCGGCGTGGTTGATGCTGCTGCTAACACTACAGTACAAAAAAAGTAGGTGAAATGTATGCGAAGCTAAAGTTGTTGACCCTTACATAATCAGTAGTATGCATAGAAAACGTGTACTTGTAGGTGTAGCCTGGATGGTGTTTCCTAGGGAGAAGCCGTGCGGGGGAAGATTCAAAGTCACGGTCATCCATGCCAATCCCAACCTCTCGTCCTTCTTCTCTTCCGCTCTGTGCTCCAGGGACACCGACACAAATGACAACAAAAAAACATGACAACCACAAAAACAGCCATCCATGGGCTATCGCCCGTTTACCGTCGTCCCCCCGTTCGACGAAAGAATTGATCCTCTTTTCCACGTCTTGCTAGTCTTCCGAGCCATTCCCGACGAAAGAGCGCGTGTTCAACACAAGCAGCACAAGGGCATGGAGGCTTACGCCGCGCAACCCCCCCCCCCCCCCCCCCCCCCCCCCCCCCCCCCCCCCCCCCCNGGGCATGGAGGCTTACGCCGCGCAACCCCCCCCCCCCACCACCCCCCTGCCCCCCCTACCTGCCGAGCGTTGCTCCTGATGAGCATCTCCTCGCGCATGAGCCCGAACCCCGCCGCCCCCTCGTACGGGTACCTAGCACGCCACCAGCTCTTCACGATTCCCCCCGGGAACCTAGACTCGCCGGTGTTCCCAGCTGCGGCTCCCCCCTCGCCCCCCCCGCCAGTTTCCTCAGTGTGAATGCCCCCCCCCCCCTCCCCATCATCGTCGTCGTCGTCGCTGCTGTCATCGTCACCCGCTGCGCCGGCGGTGGTGACGCCGGCTTCCTCGTCTACAGCCGAGCCAGCTGGGTTTGACGCGGCGGCGGCGGCAGCGTTTCTTTTCTTCTTCTTCTTACTTCGGGAGCGGAGGTGTCGGGAGAGCTTCATGACCCTGGTGGCGAGAGCCTCGAGCAGCGAGAAGACCTCCGCGATGCTGCTTCGGGCAGACAAGACCGACCGGTACATGGCGACACGAAAAAACAAGAGGGCGTGCGTGAGGGGGGGGGGGGGGGGGGGG